GATGCTTCTACTGTGCATCTGGCTGTTCAGTGTGTTGTTCTGCGCCATGCCCCTCTTCGGATGGGGTCAGTACGCCCTCCAGTATCCCGGGTCCTGGTGCTTCGTCAACATCCACGTGTGTGCGGACACGCCCCTCCATCACCTCATCTACACCAACATCTTCGGCGCCTTCACCATCATTAACCTGTTCGTTATGGTCGTCTGTAATGTGGTGGTTATCAGTAAGTAACAAGCGGAGTGTTGTTTAAGCCTTGTTGGAGGATTCGAACGATTAGGTAGCGTTTGTTTGTGGTATGGTACTGGTATTTATTATTATTGTTCTTTTTTATATGTATCTAGTCACTTTGAGGTGGTTCGTTTGATGTACGGCTGTTGCGTTTTTTTTTTTGGATATCGTCGTAGATAGATTGATAGGTAGGTAGGTAAGTAGGGAGATTTCTCAACTGGTAGATCGATAGATAGATTGACAGATAAGTAGGTATGTAGATAAGTAGTTGTACAGTTGTAGACGGACAGACAGACAGACAGACAGACAGACAGATAGACAGACAGATAGACAGACAGACAGACAGACAGACAGACAGACAGACAGACAGACAAGTACAATAATAGACAGTAGATAAACATACGTCGTTAAAGGCACAGATTTAGACATAGCTATAGATACTAATACAGAGATAGAGGTAGAGCCCCCCTTCCCCTCCCCCTCCCCCCCATCCACAACCCGCAACGAATCCCTATTTCCGTGTTATGCCGACGATCTCTTAGCCCCACTAAAGTCTAGTTTACGACCCGGAAAAAATGACCGGAGCAAGCAACCATCTGATTGCTTGAGAGCCCCACCCTCCCCTCCCCTCCTCCTCCTCCAAAAAAAGAAGAGAGTTGATATGTCAGTGTTTGCTTTAAGTACGAGCGAGGGTCCACGTAAGGACGAGCTCTCGAGGCGCAAGTAATCGATGCTTCCTTGAGGAACAAGGAGGAAAAGGCGGAGGCTAAGGTTAAGTGTTTGTCCGCATAGCACTTCAAGGTTGAAGGAAAATAGACACTCGTGCGTATGCAAACAGAGGGGGGAGGGAGGGGGGAAGGGGGAGGGGGAGGGAGGGGGAGAGGGAGAGGGAGAGGGAGAGGGAGGGGGAGGGGAGGGGGAGAGAGGGAGGGGGGAACCGAAGGCTGGAGGGTAGGGGAGAGAGGGTGGGAGAGGGAGGGGGAGGGGGGAACCGAAGGCTGGAGGGTAGGGGAGAGAGGGTAGGGGAGGGAGCGGATAGGAGGGTAGGGGAGAGAGGGTAGGAGGGAGGGAAGGCGGGAATGAGGGAGGGAAGCTGGGGGGGGTAGTGGAACTAGGGTAGGGGAGGGAGGGTAGGGGGATGGACGGTAGGGCAGGGAGGGAAGGTGAGGAGGCTGGAGGGGGAAGGGAATGAGAGAAGGAAGGAGGGAGGGGGAAGAAGGAAGGAGTGAGAAAGAGTGGGTAAGTGAGTGAGGGAAAGAGGAAAGGAGGGAGGGAGGGCGGGAGGCGGGAAAGGAGGAGAGGTGGGGGGGGGGGGAAGCAGGTAGGGGGCGAAATAGGAAAGAGAGAGAGAGAGGTGAAGGGGGAGGGGGGAAGGGGCAAAGGTGGAGAAAGGAGGGATTGAGAAAGAGAATGAGGGAGAAAGACATACACATGCAAATTTACATTCATGCACAGGCACACACACTTTACTTTACACACATATTTGTATTTTAATTGGTAGACACAAATCGGTTATCGGGAACCTCGTTTTCCCATAGATCATTTTGGAGTTTGATTGCAAATGAAAACTCGGCCACATTAATATACGGCTGAAAAAACAAGAATTATAGTTCACCAATATTAGGTTTTACGGCCGTTTTGTCCGTACATACACCTTTTAACTTTACACTAATTACAAATTTGATTACTCATATAATTAGCTTGATCACAATTCCATGCAGAACATTCTAGGAAATATCATAAACTTTCTCTTTATCTCTCTCCCTTCCTATCTTCCCTCGCCTATTGTAGGTTGCAACACGCTGTGGTTGCAGTGCTAAATCACCGAACTGGCATCTGCTCACTGCAACACTAACAGCTGGCGAGAATGCGTTGGTCTGACAAACCTTGCAGTGGTTGGGATAGTGATTGTACAGTGTTATGGTGATTGTGATGGTGATATATTTGTGCTTCGCTATTGTGAGAGTAATTTTTTGGTTCGTTCTAGTGGCAGCACTGTTTTTTTTATTAGTTGTTTGCATAATGGGAGTAGTCATTAGGGTAGGCAGATATGGTGATTCAGTAGATACGAGTCACTATCAATTTAGGTGTGGGTGGTGAATAATGTGACTTTGATGATGATTAAGCTATAAAAAGTAAAACAAAAAAGTGAGAAAAGAGAAATTAAAAGGCGTAAAAAAGAAGACTAATCACGTGGACACACCGATGAATCAGACCATTAGAAAAGTAAACAGCACGCACACAGAAGTACTTCATTAATGTTTACACCTCTCGTTATCCTTTCTCTCCTCTCCTTCTTCTCTCCTTTCCTCTTCCCCCGCTCTCTCTCTCTCGTTTCCGCCCTTCCCCCTGTTCATCTATTCTCTTTTCTCTTCTCCTTTTGCCTCCTTTCTCTTCTGTATTCATTAGTTCTTCCTTTTCTTTCTCCTCGTTCTTTACATTTCGTCTCTCTTGTAATTATTTCGTCTTTCTTTCGTCTCTTCTTAGTCTTTTCCCCTCTTCTGCCCTTCTCCTTCTTCTTTTTCTTCCTCTTTTCTTGTCCCACTTTTTTCCTCACCTCCTTCTTTTCTTTCCCTCTTCTTCCTTCTTTCTTCCCATCCCTTCTTCCCTTCCCACCATCTCTTTTTTCTTCCCTCGTCTCCCCTATCTCCAACCTATTTACCCTTCCCTTTTTTTCCCATTCTCTGCCTCTTCTCCTCCCCTCTACCTTCACCTCCTTCCCTCCCCTCCCTTCTTCACCCCATTTTCCTCCTCCATTCCCCTTCTCCCATCTTCCCCCCCATTTACTCCTTCTTCCCTTCTTCTGCAATAACGAAAACCAATACGAAGTCAGCAAGGGTTCTCCAGTCCATACGGGTTGCTAATTGCACTTCAATACTAAAGGACCGGAGAACCTTGCGTATTGACATTAACATAACCTCGCGTTTGAATGCGTTGGGATAAGTGGTAACATGTGAAAAAGGGGATTTAATGTACGAAGCACTTGTGAGAAGGGGAGGATGAAGATACGTGAAATAAAGATGGGGAAAGGTGGTATATTGATGAATAAATACGGAATAAAGATGGATGAAGCAGGATGTAAGGGATAAAGAGGGATACAAGCGACTTGAAAAAGGCACGGGAAAAAAGATGAAGGAAAACAAGGATAGAAACTGAGACTGAAAAGGGAATGAGCAACATGACAATAAAGAAAGCATTCTAAAATAGAGAATAAAACGTAGAAAATGTGCTTCATTATAAAAGATAATGAGCGAAGAGGAAGATAAGGACAGAGAAGGGTGATAAGGAGCCATAATTTGCTCCATGATTAAAAAAATGATTATGGACTTTTTCGTCTACTTTGTCAACAGCTGATTACAAAACGAAGACGCCATTAACGGCAAGTGCTTTTGTTTGTACAAAGAATAATAGACTGAAGTGGTATTCCTTATTAAAAGCCCGAAATGATAACATGGAATCATAATGACATACCAATAACCTGTCATCATCAACATCATTAATCATATTGTGGAAATTACGTATAGATCGAGGATACACTGTCTACCGTGTTTTTGTTTTGTTTTGTTTTCTTTCTTTCTTTCTTCCTTCCTTCCTTTCTTTCTTTCTTTCTTTCTTTCTTTTATGTACGTGCGTTTTTGTGTACGTTTGAAAATGTGTTTTCGAGTCTATGTGTGTGTGTTTTTGTCTATGTGTCTGATCGCATGTTTTCCAAATATGAATTTATGTATGTATGTATGTATGTATGTATGTATGTGTTTATGTATGTATGTATGTATGTTTGCATGTATGTATGTATGTATGTATATGCATATATATATGTAAGTATGTATGTATGTATGTATATAAGTATGTATGTATATATGTAAGTTTGCATGCACATGTATTTACGTATGTACATAAGTTTGTATGTATTTACGTATGTATATAATTTTGCATTTATTTACGTATGTATTTACGTATGTATATAATTTTGCATATATTTACGTATGTATTTACGTATGTATATAATTTTGCATTTATTTACGTATGTAATTACGTATGTATATAATTTTGCATTTATATGCGTATGTATTTACGTATGTATATAATTTTGCATTTATTTACGTATGTATGTACGTATGTATATAATTTTGCATTTATTTACGTATGTATGTACGTATGTATATAATTTTGCATTTATTTACGTATGTATGTACGTATGTATATAATTTTGCATTTATTTACGTATGTATGTACGTATGTATATAATTTTGCATTTATTTACGTATGTATGTACGTATGTCTATACGTGTAAGTACACTGTCTTCTCTTCTCTTTTTCGCGTCTTTAGATATTGGACTCATGTAATATACGTACTCGAGTTCTGCTCTACTTTATTGCTCATAAAGGCCCCAAAAGCAGAGTATTTGGGGCATAAAGTGGTCTTTATTGCACAAAAACAGATTTTTCTTCCTTTTCTATTTTTCTCTTCCACTTATTATTGAAATTAAGTGTTGTTATAGACACGGAAAAAAGGTATGTTTCTGTTGACTTGTGTGTTAATGCATTTGCTTACTTATTTTTCATATCCATTATTCCTGTTATTATTGTTATAATTTTTGTTGTTGTTATTGTTGCTGTTGTTGTTATTATTATTATCATTATTGTTATTTTTAATATTATTATTATTATTATTATTATTATTATTATTATTATTATTATTATTATTATTGTTATTATTATTATTATTATTACCATTATCATTATTATTATTATCATTATTGTTATTATCATTATTATCATTATCATTATTATTATTATTATTATTATTATTATTATTATTATTATTATTATTATTATTATTATTACAACAAACAACAACAACAAATAATAATAATATTGATAATAATGATAATGATAACGATAATAATGATAATGATAATAATAATAATAATAATAATAATAATAATAATAATAATAATAATAATAATAATAATAATAATAATAATAATAGTA